GCCATGAAAAAATAACTTTTAATAAATATTTATTATTTTTTACTATTTTTTTTAATGGTCGAAAAAATTTTTGAATTGTAAGGCATGTTATTTTTTGCATCATTTTGAATAATGTAATTTTAAGTGGCGAAATACAAAATTTGAGAGAAATCGATCGAATAGTTCCTGAGAAAATAAAATATAATTGAAATTCAATTTCTCAGAAACTTTTGAATATGCATATTTGAGATCGACCCCTCAAGACATTAAGATTGAGTCCTGGAACGTGAACATCCGATTATTAGATCAAAAGTTATGCAGAATGTCGGTTTTTTTTTTTTTTACTGTGCATTTTTAAATTTCAATGAAACCTCTGGGTCGAATAGAACATTTTTTCTAAAAATTCATGGATAAAAACTACATAAAAATCATAAATATCATAACAAATAATTATTATTTGGTCCAGAATGCAGCTTTCAATAAATTTTAACAACTGAGCAGAAATAGCTATCTATTTTTTTAATTATAAAATTCTTCTTCCTTTTCGCTTGAATAAACATTAAAAAAATTCTGTGCGTGACATTATTAGCTGGTTAGTAATTATCCCATTATTAAATTATCCATTGTTATTTTGGTGTTATAGTTCCCTAACGCTTCAGACAATGCATTGTTTTTGCTTGAAACTCGATTTAAAGAGCACTAAGCAGTAAATAAAAAAATTGTAGATTTGCAATTCTTCCTGGGCTACACTATTTTTGTACGATATAATTTCGTTAGTTTTTAGAATTTTTCAAATGTGATACAATGAATATATTGATATTAAATTAATTTAACATTCCTTTGAGTAGTATGGCTGCAATTCATTACATTGTTGCGAAATTATTTTTATTATTTTATTATTTTTTTAAGTTTGTATTTTTTGTCTCGTATTGTAATTACTCAGTTAACTATGGTTTTTCTGTAGTTACTTTTTTTTAAAGCATAGTTAGAAAATAGAAAAATTCTTAGACAATAATTTAATATAGAAAGGAAAATAGCCGTAGGAAAGCAGTTTTTATTATTGGAATTAATCTATAAATAATAATAAACGCGGCTGTGTGTGTGTGTGTCTATAATCACAATATATCGCCCCAGAAGCCTCGCCCAGGCACGAAACTCGGCACATAATTGTGTTTCGACATAATGAAGAAGTATTTATTTTCTTTTTCAAAAATTTGGATTAGTTTTTTAGTTATCAGTCATTTTGTAAGAAAATCTATGCTTTTTCGTCTTCAAAGAGCCATATTCAAAAAACTATTAAAAAATGCATATACTTTTCTCCACTCTTATAAATGTATGCTAATGCGAACCTTACAATTGAAATATTAATTTTCGACAACTTAAACCAATAATATACGAAAGAATTAATAATTTAATTGTAAGGTTCGCATTAGTTTACATTTATCAAAGTGGAGAAAAGTTTAACTGGATATGAAGCAGAACTGAATATGAAGACAAAATTGCAGGACAGGAACACTTTAATTGTTCACTAATCTTCAGATTTTCTGCTATGTTTTAAAAAACTTTATTTGTGAAAACCTTTAGCGTGGCGGACAGCTGGCCGCCTTAGGCGGCTAGTCGATAATAAAAAGTTTAATGGAAAGTTTATCTTTCAAACGCGTTTATTTTCATAAAATTTACACAAAAAATGAAAAACGTTTCAGAGCAAAAAACGTACCTCGAAAACAACATATAAAAACATATACTATACGAAAACAACATATGAAAACATACTATATAAAACAATCTTGCTATTTTTAAAAAAAATATCTCTCATCTACTCGAATGTAAACGATAGCTGGCTATGTTATCATAAAAAAACAACGTATAAAAACATATTTATAATTTATTATATTATATAATTCATAATATTCATTATATTATATTTCTGTTTTATTATAACTATAAATATTTCTAAAATATTTGTAGTTACAATAGAACTTATTAATTTTTCTATAATATAAATTTTTTTATTATATAATATAATTTTTTTCGTTTTTTTCTTCTTTTTATCCCTTTTGTGCTATATCTATCTGTATATTTATCTATCTATCTATCTAATGTAGAAAATGTTCAAAATGTAATGTAGAAGATGTTCAAAATGTAGAGAAAACATGGAAAAAATTACAGAACAATGAAAAAAGGGGAAAAAAACAATAAATATATCAATACACTGTTGTATTAATATATTTTGCTCTGGCTATATTGATACAATATTAGAAAGCACTCCTTTTTGCGGACATAGTCGTGTGAGCTGATAAAATGATTATATCTTTTATTTTTCGGATTTTTATTTTTTCTTATTCATTTTTTTCGGATTTTTTTCTGGATTTTTATTATTATTTTTTTTTCTTCCCCCCTTTTTTCATTGTTCTGTAATTTTTCCCTGTTTTCTCTACATTTTGAACTTATTTAATGAGTTCTATTTACTTGCAGCTTATGCGCAGAAGTAAAACTTATTGTTTTTCTTAATTTTCTTCGTTTTTTTTCCTTTTTTGTATATATATATATATATGTCATTTATTCGAATGCGCACATTTTAAGAGTTATACTATTTTTCAAACGAGCATGTATACTTTCTTCCGTACGTATTTTGAGCTATGCCCATAACTCACTTATTAAGCCAGGAGCAATTTTCTTTCAAGCGATGTCCATTTTTTAAAAAGCGCATTTCAACTTTTTTCCAATACTCATTTAGAGCTTTGTTGCCCGGTGTTGTGAAAACCTTTCATTATGCAGCAAAAGATATTATTTATAAGATATCGATCCGCTGTTCTAAAGAATTATTCACTATAAAATATTGATTTTTAAAAATTATACGCGTGAGTTGGAATTCTTATTCAATTCAATCGAGCTTTCACTGATATTTGGAATGCTTTTTACAAAAAGTAGCGAAATAAAAAGAACGTAATTTAGTGCAAACCAAAAATCGTTCGAAGAAATATTGAAAGTATTCCTTCTCAAGCGAGTAAAAAGCGCACGCAAAGTCGGTAAATTGGGGAATAACTTTTTCTGTCTATTATAAGGAAGCAGGGGTTAATAAATCACTTTTTACCTCAAGTTTTCTCTTCTACTTTGATTTATACGTAATAATCTATGCGTTCATGCAAAGATTGATTGGAAAGTACGCCATTTTTAGAATTTAATAAATTATTTGCTCTTAGATCGTTTTTTCTATTTTGAGGAAAAGCTCCACTCTAAAATTAATATGAAAAAAAGGATTTCAGATTTTCCTTTCACATCATTCTACACGCAATAACTTTTTTTTAAAAATATAAGCAGAGACCTTTTTAAATGACTAAGACACAATGCACAACGTGCCAAAATAAATAAATATAAAATAACGGAACACTCTGAATACCTTTTGATCTAATGGTCGGAATTTCACGTACTAGGACTGACATTTTACGGGGATGGCAGACGATATTTTAAGTTTCGAAATCACATATAAAATTCTTTTAATAAATATACTTTTTCATAGGGATTCGAATTTTGATTCTCGAAATATAGGAGGTTTAGCGCAATTTGTGAAATATAGTCCCAATAGTATAGTCAAGAGAACAGTTGAAAACTTGGTCCTTAACAGTTAAATTCTCTTTTTGGGTATTTTTCAAATATCGAGAACTTTTTAAGCAAACGAAAACAATTTTGCATAGAATTATGAAAATCGTTTATCCAAAGATAATTCCAAACACACAAAAAATGTTGAATAATTATTTTTCTATTATTTCATTTGAATATAGTCGGAAAAAAAATTAAAATTCTCAGAAACTATTCGACCGAATTCGATCAAATTTAGTATTTTGAGTAAAAAATTACATTTGTTAAAATGATGACATAATTTTTATACATTTTAATTCGAAATCCAATTATTCAATTTGCATAAAAAAAAATAACGCTATGATAAAAAGTATATTAAAGTAGGTTTTGCTACATGTAAAGATTTTTTTTCTTCAGACTGATTAATGACTACATAAAAATAAAGTAATCTTTTTTTAACTTGAATGATAAAAATGATTACTTTTTTTTAAAGTAAGAATAAAGTAAAAATTTGAAAGCATTTTTTATGAAAAGAAAGTAATTTTTTTTAAGTAATTATTTTTAAAGACTTAATTTTAAATATGCATCAAATGTAACTTACCGAATGAATTCGTTAAATTGGTATTGAATTTTGTCAATTAAGAAGCAAAGATAANTTATGAAAATCGTTTATCCAAAGATAATTCCAAACACACAAAAAATGTTGAATAATTATTTTTCTATTATTTCATTTGAATATAGTCGGAAAAAAAATTAAAATTCTCAGAAACTATTCGACCGAATTCGATCAAATTTAGTATTTTGAGTAAAAAATTACATTTGTTAAAATGATGACATAATTTTTATACATTTTAATTCGAAATCCAATTATTCAATTTGCATAAAACAAAAATAACGCTATGATAAAAAGTATATTAAAGTAGGTTTTGCTACATGTAAAAAATTTTTTTCTTCAGACTGATTAATGACTACATAAAAATAAAGTAATCTTTTTTTTAACTTGAATGATAAAAATTATTACTTGCAATACAATGCAATAAAATTCGTACAGTTTTAAATTCAAACTTTAGACGTGTTACATAAATTATTATTTCAATGAAAAAATTCAAGCGAATTTTGTAGCTAAAAAATACAAAAATGAAAAAAAAAATATGACTGAAGTTTTTATTATTGTAAAAAAATAAAGAGATGTATGAAAAGTAACGACAAACTACATCAAAAAGATTTATCGCGATCAAGAGAAAATTTATTCTTAGTTCTCAAAGAAGGCTTAGCTACCCTTTTTTAAAGTATTTCTCATCTTCTCAAATATGAACGATAACTGCTATGTTATCATAAAATATGCGTTAGGATTTCCCAAGCATTCCGTTCTAGTTTAATTCATTTATTGAAAGCAGGGAGAAGAGTAAACAAAGCAACCGCGAATACTGATGCAGAAAGTTCCAATTCCATAACGAAGAAAAAAAATGGCTCGTTAATCAGAAAAGCGTCATTAAAGTTGATGACCAAGAACACATCCAGAGCACGCTCCGCTGCATTGGCCACCAAGCATGAATAACAACAAACAATAATTTGAATGAATCAGAAGAACGAATGTCATTCACGATCATCGATGGTGTTAACCCAATTGCTTCCTTCCTTCTCTTTTGGGCGCCCCCATGAATGTTCCATGAAAAGACTGCTCTGTAAGTGAGCGATGATTGTAAATAATCGTTCGTGTAATCCAAGTGAAAACGATGATGAATTTTTAAAATCAGAATCCAAGTGAAAACGATAATGAATTCTTAAATTCAGCCTTGTCAGTACTTTGATTTTCTTATGATATTGTTCTCTCAATTGAAAATGCTTTTGAGAGTTTGATTAAAATCCGATGAATATTGTATTGCAATGAAATCTGTTCTCAAGAAGTTATGGTTCTGTTTTTTTCTCTTGCTTTTTGGATTTTTTACAGGTATAGTATTGTTTTGTGTTTTTTTCGAACATGCACGTTTTGCTGCTTTCAAAAAATAAATAATTAAAATAAAAATTAAATAAATAAAATAAAAATCGTGATAATCCGAGGCTTAATTTTTTTCTTTTACATTTGACTCCTACATTAAATGTTCTCTGATAAAAGTACGATTCTAAAACTGATTAGCGATATTAATTAATTATTTTTAAGATTTTAACTTTCGATAAAAAAAAGTGCTTTGAGTTTATTCCGGTTGTATATTTAGGTTTGAACTGTTACATTGTTTAAACTGTTCTTGTTCATTGTTTAAACTGTTCTTTTTAAACCTTATATGGAGCTTCAAGAATTGGACATTTTCTTTTTTACTCTATCTATAATTTAAAACTAATTGCTCAGAAAAAGTTCGACTGTTTGTTTTGCTTGCTAAAAAAAAAAAACTTTTTTTTCTTTTACTGTTTGGTACCTACATTAAAAACTCCCTGATAGAAGAACCACTCTAAAGTTGGTTGATGATAGAAATTAATTATTTTTTAAATTTTAACTTTTGATGAAAAAAAGTGCTTTGCGTTTATTTATGTTGTAGTCTTTATTGTTTAAAATGTTCTTTTTAAACCTGATAGTAAACTTAAACCTGAAGTATTTTTTTTACTCCATCTATAATTTAAAAATAATTACTTAGAAAAAAGAGAATATCTAAATTGTTTTGCGTTTCTCTCGATATTAAAAATTTTTATGGGGTACTGACCGACGTAGCTTTTTTTAGGGTATTTAACTTAACGTTACATTTTGTTCTACTGCGCAATAACTGCAAGATGTAAAAACTTGAAATTACTAAAGTGTGTAGAAACGTGTACAGGAATTAAAATGGAATAAAAAATTAGGGAGAGATTGAGAATTATTAACTGTTAAATACCATACAGGCGGCTAGAATGCAACTACTTAGTTGAAATTTGAATGTAAAACAAACAATATCTAATATGATTTTAAATTATTTCAGAGTTTAGTTTAAAAAAAACATGTTTCGAATGGGTTTTTTTACAATTTAGTGTCAGTACTGTCTATTTTTTAATAACTGTCCCTGTACTTAAAAACGCATTTTAAAACTGCGAACAAGACATTTGGTTTTAAGTTATGAAGTGTTTGCTTGCAAAATGTGGTCGTAATTAAGTTAATGTAAAATTGTAAGTGATACAAAGATGTTTTTGCAATAAATAGTAAAAATTCTTAATATTTCTTCAAATTCCTAGAAATAATCTATTTTCTCAAAAAATTATTAATTAAATTGTCATATTTGTTAAAAAATTTTCCTATATATTTATTNCAAAGATGTTTTTGCAATAAATAGTAAAAATTCTTAATATTTCTTCAAATTCCTAGAAATAATCTATTTTCTCAAAAAAATTATTAATTAAATTGTCATATTTTTTAAAAATTTTTCCTATATATTTATTTAATTTATTCAGAATTTTTTTCTTCTTCATGTTCTTTTGAAACAATCACATTTTTACATGGAGTAAGAATTGTGGGCGTATATACCTATTTAAATAAAATATGTGAAAATTTTAGAGAAATTTTTAGTGAGTTCTTGAGAAATAAATATTTAAAAATACGAAATTTTATTACCCAGGAATCAATGTCGGATTAAAAGTACACTTTAGTTTAGTTAAAATTAAATAGTCTAATTAAATATATCACAGTTGGAAAGGAATCAATCAAATAGCTCTGAAACACTCTTTAAACTTTATTTGTCAGAAAATATTGGACCAATTTAAAATTTGTTATTTGTAATTAAATTATTTCAGAACATGTAAAAAATTTGCATGCAGCTTTATAAATCAAAACTTTTTGATCATTATAAAAATTTAACTATAAAAATAATAAATATTTTGCTCTTCTTTGCGATTGATTATATTTGGATAAAATATGTTTATAATTTTCAAGCATGAAAAAAAAACATACGCACAGAAAAAAGCAAATTAATACTCAAGCTAGGAAGAAAGAAAAACGTAAGAAACATAAGGATGGATTTTGAGGTAAATAAAAATCAAAAATCATTTAGAAGCCGAACGAAACTAGAAAGTGTTTTTAACAACCACGTTTCAGCACTGCACTGTATTGTCCGGAAGTCAAACAGATTTTTATGTTTTCAGTCCCACCTTCTTTAGTAGTGTTTGGTAATTTCTTCGCCTCAATAATAATTCCGTGTTCCCCTACTTGTAATGCTTTTTTGTTGATCCAAAAATATCTCTTAAGGGTTATTATTACAGAGCACCAAAAGAGCTGAAAAATATTTTTTTCTTTTCTTTTCTAGGATGCGGTATGGTATGTGCAGAGGGTATATGTGACACATCGCATGTGGAACACTGCTACGATACTCTTGTTCATTATGAAGGATTGGGATTTCCCCTTTACGGAAAAGATGAAGAAGAGCTGAATGAAACATGCGAGTAAAGACTGTTTTGTATATGTTTAAACCATATATTTTACATGTTTAAACCATATATTTTACATGTTTAAACCATATATTTGATTGATTCATGGTGATTCAGTAAAGATAATAACTTGGACATCATTGATAAGATAATAATAATTATAATGCAAACCCACGGTCGGAAATGTAGTAGTACGCGGCTTTCTTACTGTGGACCAAACTATGAAACAATACTTTTAATTATTTAAATTTTATTAATATGGTGGATAATTTCATTCAAATAGGCACTAGATCGTGGTAGCTCAGGGGATAGAGCGTTTGCTTTCCAATGAGGTTAGCCGGATTCGGATCCCAACGATGGCTGGGTCAATGCAAATTCTGCCCCAGGCTCGCGCTGACCACAGTGGTGACTTAAAATATATCCTCAGTGGTAGACGGATCATGGGTTAGAAGTTCAATCGAAAGGTTCAAATTTCTCTCAATATTTGATCCAGGAGTTCTCTTGTCTTCTGGATTGAATTTCAAGAAATAAGCATGAAATAAAGTAATTTTCATAATATTATAAAAACATTCATAAGAATTCCATATTTTTAATAGTAACAAAATACACAAAGGATGCATTTCCGTCGCAAAAATAAAGCTACCAGGTATCGACCGGCAGACTATTTTTGAGTCGCATATTTGTTTTATTTACTCGCAGTTTGGCTGGTAAAAATTTGCGGCTGGTCAAAACAATGATAAAAATTTTATGCTTTTATCAGTGCGCAACTGTACATTTTTATATCATGCTGATCCACAAAATTGAATATTTTTTAAATTTTGAATTAATAATCAGTTTATCTTCAAAAGTAACAAAAATTGATTAAGAAACAATCATGGGGGTCGGTGAGCGAAGCGAGAAAGGCAACTATTATACATTTTTAAATCATGCAGATCCACAAAATTGAACATTTTTTAAATTTTGAATTAATAGTCAGTTTATCTTCAAAAGTAACAAAAACTGATTACGAAAAAATCATGGGGGTCGGTGAGCGAAGCGAGAAAGGCAACTATTATACATTTTTAAATCATGCTGATCCACAAAATGGAATATTTTTTAAATTTTGAATTAATAATCAGTTTATCTTCAAAAGTAACAAAAACTGATTACGAAACAATCATGGGGGTCGGTGAGCGAAGCGAGAAAGGCAACTATTATACATTTTTAAATCATGCTGATCCACAAAATGGAATATTTTTTAAATTTTGAATTAATAAGCAGTTTATCTTCAAAAGTAACAAAAACTGATTAAGAAACAATCATGGGGGTCGGTGAGCGAAGCGAGAAAGGCAACTATTATACATTTTTATATCATGCTGATCCACAAAATTGAACATTTTTTTAAATCTCGAGGTTTTTATCATCAAAAATAACAAAAATGATCATGTGTGAGCAAAGGTCCCCCAAACATTTTAATATTAATATGTAACAATTCTGCTCATCCGAACTGAATTGTTGTCTAATTGAAATCCGTTCGGCATTCGGCGTTGCAATAATGCGGTGCATCGAGGAATCGATGAATTATATTAATTAATGGAGACGAAACCCCGGGATTAAACTGCGATGAGGCCACATATCGTACTGCATTTATATCGTATTAACAGCGCCGTGTTTATGCAGTCATATTCCAGTCTTTATTAAAACAGATTGTTGCAGCTTCATTTTATTAAGAAAGATTAATATCAATTTTGTGACATCACCTATTTATCTGAAATTGATAATCATCAACCATTATTCGCGCTGCAATTGGAATAGTCTGTGAATTCGACGTCATTTACAGTCTAATAGTGGAATATCCAAGGCATTGGAGGAATAACTAGAACAATGGAGATCATAACAATGGATTTTGCGGAGCTTCAGTCATGTAAGGTACGAAGCAAGTAATATAAAAAAAAAATATTTTTAAAGTCAATTCCTACATAGGTCAACAAAGAAATTTTAGTTAGTTTTTATTAAATAATTAAATTTTTTTCTCCTATATAAAACTAAAAATAATAATTTAAATTTAATTGATGAATTCATATTTGAAAAAACTGTATTAACATCAAGTGTTATCCACTACAAATTTACAAAAATATACTTGAACTAGAATGGACGAATAAAAAGTATTTAATTAACGTTTGAAAATTTGAACAAGATATATAGATATATATATAGGGAGGGAGTAAAATAATAGTAGGAATTGGAAAAAAAAGAAAAGGCACGTGGTGTCAGATAACTATAAAAGTATAAATTTGGTGACGTGAACCTTGCGTGCTACCACGTAATGTTCTTGAGTTTATCCGTACACATCAAAATATAAAATAATTAAATATTTAACAATAAACTATTTGAACAATAAACTATTTTATTTTGTTCAAATAGTATATTTTAAGCCATATTTTTTTTTAAAGCATATCTGTAAAACATCTCTCTCTTTGCGAGACGTTTTATATTTTGGTTCGTTTATTTAAGTGATGACAATGGTTTTTACCTAATGATGACAATGGTTTTTGTAGGTATAAATATTTACTTTTTTTCATCTGGATTAAATATGTATTAAAAATAAAAAATGAAAATATGAACAATCTACATAACATTTAAATTCCGGAGTCCTACCTACTGCTCCTTTCTAGTTCATGCTCTCTGTAAATTCCAAACTCGTCAAAAAAAAAAAAAAAAAAATTCTTCTTTCTCACAAGAAAAAGTCCTTGGATTTCTCTTACTCCACCCCCACTCCCGTATCCCTCACCCTCTGACCCTCAGGTCAGAGGTCAATATAATGCGTGGGAGAGGAATCAGGATCCTGACAATATCCATAACCATATTTTTTTTAAAAAATAATTCCAATTATTCAATAATAATAAATTAAGAAGAAAATTAGTTTCAAAAATCATTGCTGGTTAAAAAATATCCCAACTTTCGGAACCCCCGTGACCTTTCCACGGAACCCTGAGGTTCCGTGAAATATCTTTTGTTAATCGCCGTTTTAATGCTTGTAATCGCAGTACTGAATTAACCCATATTTACACACCTCAAAATTATACATTGATAAATTCACAAGTTAATTAAATAACTACTTTAATTTTGCAACTAAGAAATTTAAGAATTAGAAAAAAAAGACAGCTTTTGTTTAAAATAAAAAACAGGAGAGAAAATTTTGCTGATAAAGAAGCAAACCATACAGAGGAAGATATTTAAGTAATAACACACAATAGGATTATTGGACAATATTATTGACTGCAATACACATAAATTGTATTTAAAAAATCACTGATGTTATTTTTAAAATATGTGAAATACTGATTATAGTTGTAGTACTGTTATTACTAGTTTTCCTTTATATCTTAATTCCTCATAAATTTTCATTAAAAATAATTGGCAATTAAATAGAAGCTAATGTAAAATATTATTTAAGTTTTTTTTTTACCAAAAATGTTCATCTTTTATGCAAAGAATCAGTTGAAGTAGTTTTAATAGTTTTAGATAAAACTGTTGGTTTCTTCGAAATCGTTTTCCCCTTCTCAAATATTATAATTGCTACCGTCGTTGAACAGCCGAACTAATTTTTTTGACTAAGACTACTTATGTTCAACTCCGTAACCTTGCAGTTTTGAACCTGATTTAGAAGACAAGGGAATTCCTGGATTAAATATCGGAGACATTTTTCCTTTGTGGAGGACTTTTTGATGGAACTAATCAGCATTTGCGTTACATGGAGAGGAAAACCACGAAAACCTCTTACGGTTAGCCTGATGGCTAGAGGACTGTAACCTATGATCGGTATACCACTGAGGACATTATACATCAGCATTGTGGTCGGTGTGAGCTGGATGCGGAATTCGTGTCGACCAGTCATCGCTGATTCTTGCAAATTCGAACCCGGTTCACCTCATTGGAAGGCGAACGCTCTATCCCCTGAGCCATCACGACTGGTCATATCAGATTTAAAAAAAAAATTTCACGTTTCCTTGTGAGCTGTTTAAATTATATTCCTTCGTTCAAGAAACTTTAACTCCAGTTTTAAGCTCGCGAGACGCCATTTTACAATCCAGCGGCTTTTAACGACTCCTGTTTGGCATTTCTTATAATAAAGAAAACTGTGAGTTTTGACTTTTTTCTTATTTTTAGTTTAGGTAATAAGTTTTAAAAGAAATAAAAGTTTGCGACCAAGAAATGATGCTTTTTTGAAAGAAAAGATATGTATTTTAATATTTTTAATCTAATTGGCAATTTTCAAAAGTTTTTTTGTCCATCCTGAAATGTTTCTTTATCTAAAAGATGTAGTTTAAAATGGCAGATTTGCCTGGAATGTAAGGCTGTTTTTATTTTACTTGGCGTAAAGAACTTTTCTTTTAATATTAATTTCATAACTGTGTGAAAATTTGAAGCGTTTATTCAAATTGCATTAACGGTAAGAATTAATTTTGAACATTCTTTTTGACTCAAAGGACGATGAACGATTCATTCGAGTGTCTCCAGGCGTATTCGCAACATTGTAATGAAAGTGAGGCATGCGACGATGAGGGCTGTTCACAAATGTTGGAGGATATCGAAACATTTTCCACAAACACAGGATTAAGGAATGTTGAAAAAGAACTCTGCAATCCAGGTGCTACGAGGGAAGGTAAGTTATAACAGATAAAATATTTTTCATATTAAGCATTTAAAAAAGGAATTTTAAATGTACTGAAAAAATTTCTGTAAATGTAAAGATCAAAACAAGAATCTGTGATCACTCTCATTGCAAATAGAGTTGGCATTTCAAGACTTGCGCGATTTCTGCACTCTCCACACTTTCCCTCTTTCTGTTACCATGGTTTCGGGAAAAAAAATTATTTCTTACCACGAGAATATTTTCCAACTTCTTACTGAATCCTATTGCCGAAGGAAAAAAGCGAGATTTTCCAAAACCATGATAACGGAGAGGGTGAAAGCGTGGAGAATGGGAAAATCACGTAATTCCTATTATATTTAAAAGAGTATAAGTTCTTTGTCTAATACCTATGACCGAGTATCTATTTAACAGGTATTTTTCTAAAAGCCAGAATTTTTAATGTATTGTTCAGTGATGGGTTTTTGTGCTTGTCTGATCTATTTGCATCTTTTTCCTATTGAATCTTAAAATTCCACTTCAACGCAATATTTACGGTAGTTTCAGATTCAGGTAGGTATTTTATTTGCGTCACCCTAGAGCAGTACAATGGGCTATTGGCGACGGTCTGGGAAACATCTCTGAGGATGATCCGAAGACATGCCATTGCAATTTTGATCCTCCGCAGAGGGGGGGGGCTCCCCTTCTTTGGTAGCCGGACGACCAGCGTGCGAAGTCGAGCACTTAACGGTAGAGGACCGATACAGCACACCCTCAGTACGCAGGCTGTTCAAAGTGGTCAACCACCCGCTTACTGACCGCAACCTGTGACTTCGGTGAACTACTGGGAAACGTGTCTTTACGTTCAGCCCACTGCAGAACGGTTTCAGGAAAGATTTCATGTCCCTGAGAAAACAAAAATGAAGGTGCAACAAAACTAGAAAAAACCACATTCACGTTTTGAGAATAGGCGCCTATTTTCGAGAGCTCGAAACATGTCGCTTTTTTTAAATAACTTCACAATTTTGAAGCAAAATTTTCTAAATCATTAAGTATATCTTGTTGTGATTATTCATTTTTTATCAAATAGAGTTTTGTTAAATCTATTTCAGCCTACTTGGAAAATTATTCATGCTTAGCGAGTAACGTTGAACATTATGCCGCCTGTCACAATGACTCTCAGATGTCACAGGATTTCATGACAACCATCAAAGAGCCGTCACAAGCAATCGCAGCTCGATGCTGGTAAGTGAACTTACAAACAATTACAGTCAAACTTCGTTATAGTGAACATTCAAGGGACCGAAATTTAGGTTCACTATAACCGGGAGTTCCCTATATCAGTACTGCAAACAATTTTAACTCATTTTTCCGAACTGCTCCCTTTTATTACACATTATTTAAATAAATGACCCACAGAAAGAAGTACAAAAATGATTAAATAATATGTAGTAACAAAAGTTGCGTTAACTTTTATTGAAGTTATACTTCTTATGCGACTTCCAACAAGGTTGCGTTAAACGTTTAACNGTTAAAAAAGGACCCTTCACAAAATATTTTAACTTAAAAACGGACCCTTCACAAAATGATTTTAACTTAAAAACGGACCCTTCACAAAATGATTTTTCTTTTAATCGGACCCTTCACAAATTTTCTTATCTTCATTATTAATTTGTTAATCGAATAAACCCTTTCCAGGGCAGAAAACAAGAATGATGGATGTAAACGAATTAAGTCTTGTCTTCGACAGACAATTCTTCCATTATTCGTCCGAAATTAATATTCTGCGTTCAGCAGTATAGGCTAAATACCAAATATTTGTATGTTGCATCTCTCATTTAGAAGCAGTAATTGTTGTTTATTTTTTAAAATTTAATTTTTTTAATTATAATTTTACAGTGTTGAGCATAATCTTGTATGTCTTTACAATTTAAAAACTCCTTGAAAAAAAAATTTTTTTTTTTGCAATAACGGACCCTATTTGCACAAATTCATAAGAGCGGACCCTGGTTGAAAGAATGTGAGTAATTTTTTCACAATTTCACGAAAAACGGACCTTTCACAATATGTCAGGACAGACCCCTGGCTCCATTTTATTACACATTATTTAAATAAATGACCAACAGAAAGAAGTACGAAAATGATTAAACAATATGTAGTAACAAAAGTTACGTTAAATTTTATTTTTGATGACTCTTCGTCTTGCATACAAAAAATTTAGGGATGGCAAACTGAGATAGAGGAAGTAAAAAAGAATGCTTATGTCTACATTCCACTCAATAAATGGTTTTAAAAATCAGGATATGCATTTTATGCAGAAATTTAAAAATTATCAAAAAATGAAAGAAAGAAAAATCAGTCGTAGACAGAAAAAAGTTCACGATAACCAATATCCTCTTTCCTTTTGTTTCACTTTATCCGCAAAAAATAATATTATATGTGTACAGCGAGGCACTGGAGCTAATATTTCGTTCACTATATCCGGGAGTTCACTATAAACCATTGTTCACTATAGCGGGGTTTGACTGTATTATATGCCCTATTCTTTAAAAGCAGTTGTGTGTGACGATTATAATCGTCATCGTGATTACACGTCACTCTGAGTCCTCGCACTAAATTCATCTCAATATTTTAATAATTGAGCTTTATCTAATGTGTAAAAAACAAAATTTGCAAACGTAAGATTAATAAAAAATATATATAAACATAAATATTAATGTTATTTTAACCCCTTAACAGAGACATATATTTCAGAAAAATGGAATTTTTTTTGACTGTTTAATTTTGTTCTTTATATTATTATAAATGGTTTTTTATTTGAAAAATAAAATTTTAAACGCATTAACTATGGTATTTATAATTTTTACATGCACATAAGAAAGTAATGGATTACACGCACATCTTATTCAGTTAGAGCAAATGAAACCAAATTTAGAAGCTAAATACAATATAACTAGCATAATATAATATAAAAACACAGCATTATGATTTTTTAAATACTTACATTTTACAAATCTTTTACAAATTTTACAAATCTTTTCCCTTCCTTGTTTCCCTCCTTCGACTGAAGACGTACTCGGTGAAAAACTAGGACCACTAATGCCATCTATTAAGAAAATAGTGAACTAAGTATACTAAAGTAGAAACGATCACAACTCGGGCTTCACAAAATAGAAACGTTAACTTTTTTCCTGCCCGAAGTCAGTTCGGGCATCACAAATACTGCACGCAAGGGTTGCCCGAACTGGAATCTGGCCACACTGGCAAGGGGTTAATAAGGATTTTATTTAATAATATTTTGAAGAAATTGAATAAATTCCGATACATCTTGTATATATACTACCTTGATATATATATATATAT